ACCATTCCCCATGTACCATATTTACTAAAATTAGCTTAAAGATCACTTTTATACACCAAATATTATAAATTTTGGTTTACTTTTCTTCTTTGATCCCTCAAATATACAGATGTTTCCAGGAAATAACTTTTGGGATAGAAATTAGCCTTAATTAAATTCTGACGGGGCCATCCCCTCCTGGCCCCTTCTGAGCCCCTTCTGTTTCAAGGGTGGATATGTAAAATTGCATATGCAGTTTACAAAGACCAGACGAAGGCAAACGTACGGAATCGCATTTTCTTTTCGAGAATCCAGGAAATATTTCAACCTGAAAAATGACATTTTGCAATATTTTTGTTTTTTTGCCACAAAATGCAATAATAAAATTTTATGACCCTAAATTGTTTTACTGTACCGCAAATTACGACATGCTTTTACTTCCCTGTGTGGAGCCGTGCCATTAAGGTGTCAAAGAATCTCCGGTCTGACGTTCATTTCGAGCACATACGAAAATTGGCAGCCGAAGGCCTGCCACATGAGTCGTTAGCTAATATTTTTTATATTAGCCAGGCCGCACTTTCGAGATTTATTAACCATAGAACAGTGCCTAGAAATAAGAAATTTGGACGAAAACGGTAAATAAGACGACTTGATTCGTAACAAACTAAAAGACACCATTATATGCCTGTTCGGACTATTCAGAGCCGGCATTTGTTAATGTTCTCTCGGCATCTCGGAAAGGAAAGGATGCTGGAATTCGGCCTTCATCAGCAGATGACTATGCTGAAGCCATTTTAAAGCCAGGAACTAAGAAAATATCATTTTCACCTTAGAAGTCTTATTTTTGGACAAGTGTTCGAAGTCGGCCTAGGGGGGCTGTAGGAATCAGTCGCCCAGACCAACTGCGCTGATTCAAGCTGTCTTTCGTGCGCTAAGCTTCGCTTACTGCCCACTATTGTTCTTTTGCACGCTTGATGTCAACTCACGGCGCTTACGCTTGTAAGTAATCGATACCTGTGCCTCATTTGATTGGCGGTAGCCGATTGATTACTCACTGCACAGCATAAACTTGTCACATCCCGTCTTTTGCACCTGCACGGCTGGCTATCGTACGCGGCGCCACTATAAAGCTTTTTGAGCAGGAAAGTTGTTCGAATTCAGTCTTCCTCCAAGACGCGTTATTTGGGGATACTTCTGCTGTTGAGACAGCAACCAACTCGACGAACAGCTTATTTTTCCAAATCCACGATCAAGTCTGGTTTTGACAATGGACAGCTTTCCACCAGCAATTCAGCACGTGTTGGCGCCTACGTCTGGCTCGCTCACTGTTGCACAACTCACGCAAATGGGCAAACTGTTGATAGAGATGCATGACCGTGCCAAACTTCCATTTGCCGCACTTGGAATTTCCGCTGTTCCTCCAATTTCTTCCCTCTTAGACCTGAAGACTGATATTGCGCAACTAACCGAACAGCTAGTTACCCTGAACCAGCAATCAACCTCTCTATCCTGGCGTCCGCCGAGCTCATCTGCCTGGCATTTCCAGCCTGTTTCTTCAACTCATCCCAACACAGCTACTACCCGTCGGTATCACACAACCTTTTGGTGCCAGAGCCCGTCCCTGCATCTCTCCCTGCTCCTTTGTCTCCAAGCAGAACACATGCGTTAAGCGTATATAGGAAAAGCTTCTCCCAGGAGCACCCGGTATCGGCAGAAACTTTCAAGAATCGTCTACATATGATGGTTTGAATGACCATTAAATTTCGTTAGCGACCGATTTAGTGGTCGACAGGAGAAAGTATAAACAGTCAGATGGATGCTATTATGTTGTAAGATAACGCCCCTGTTTACCGATCAAAGGGTTTACGATTATAATTTACTGTAAGACTTTAAGCTCATTTTTTGACCACAAACAGCCTTTCCGCCTGCGGTCCGCTAAGAATTTTTAGTCTCGCGAACAGTGTTGTCCCGAATCCTACTGCAAATCTCTACGTGTTACTTAAAAGAGACTGAGACAAGTCTATGAAACGTATTTCAATGGAATAGAAATTGGAGTTTGGGCTTAAAACTTGTATAGGCCAAACCGTTATTTAAAAATTAGTTGCCACCAGTTCATTCCAACTTACAGCAGTTTTACACGCTAAAGGACAATCAAAAAATATTATTTCGTTGCATCTTTATTACTCTTCATTAGTTTACGCTCGTACCTTACTCTTCTACCCTGATGCCACTTATATAAGGCCTTAAATAATTGACCTGCCGTACAGTCGTTTATTCGAAGTGACAGTTTTCGATAAAAACAACTTACTTCTCACCTAATAAATGATACTTTACACACTAAAGTATGCCCTCTTTTAAAAATTGGGCGTTTCTATAAGGCAGTATAAATTGCGGAGGCGTCAGGTGAACGATTTGCGCGCTAAGATGGTTTTGGTACGAGATTGGTGATTTCGTATTAGTTTCAGCCCGCGTTGTAGGTGTTACTGTAAGTTTACTTTTTCCGAAAAATCTCTTTCAACCGAGCGCCGGACATAGGCGTTTGTCAGGCTTTTATATACGGGCGACGTATGACAGAGGCCAATCTACTTGATCAAGTGCACATTCACTTAATCGGGGGTTGATCATTAATCCAGCGTGAGCATGAGACCCAAACGCGTCCTGCGCGGTAAACAAAACCTTTGCACTTGTGCACACTTCAAAGGCGGCGGAATTTACTGACCTTTTCATCGTGATCATTTTGATGACAAAAAATGGCCTTTTCCGATGTTTATTTAAGGTCACAGACATCAGCCTTGGGACTTTACAGACACCAGTGTCATCATAAAACAGTTATTTCTCAGAGAAAGCGAACTGCTCATATAATTTCTGTTAGCAGAAAAACCCCAAAATTAAACAAGGAGACGTCTATGTTGTGCTTAAACAGATCTCGAATGCATTTGAAAAGAAACCTTTTTGCTACAAACTCTGAAAAATATACTTTTGTTAATATGCATAGGCCAGATTGCTATTTCTGTATAAGGTGAAAAAAATATGTCAATTTTCTAGCAAAAAGATTGAACTTCTGGTGTGCTGGAAGCCCACAAGTGTATAACTATATTGATACAAAGACAAGTGGGATTCAAATTTGTTTTGGAATCGCAGAAGAGTTTTCTATGCAAATTGAAGAAGATCTTATTTGCTACCAGAGAGATATTTTTAAACATGCATTCTATAACATTTTTGGCTTTATATGGGTTTTGAGACAAGGTGGAACAAATCTTAGGACACGATGTGTAAACGATTGTAAGTGTGATTTTTACAGGCTCCCGTAAAGCGGCGCATTCAAAACCCGGGATCTTGGCGTGGCCAAAATATTCTGCGATGATGTCCCCATGGTACTCACGATTGTAATCCTACCTAAGCATTCCATTTTAAGTAAAAGCACAATTCGGTTCTTAGGTTGACATTTCGTAAGATACGCTTTCAGATGTAATTTCTCTACTGAAAAAATGGACGTGGACTACGAACACCTCTGGTAAACATACCGTAATCGGATTAAAGTATTCTCTTTCAGTATTCCTCCTTAGAAGCATTAATATATCTTTATGTAAATGAATGCCCGCTGCCTTAATTAACTTTTCCATAATAACGCCAAAAATATTTTAAAAAAGTCTTTCTTTCCCGGCTTTTTTCCAAACTAAATCTAACTGTATTTCTTTCGTGGATTTTTGCAATTTTTCATGTTGAATTGTCGTCCATACTGATTACCTCTTGGCTCCATTTGTGTTCATGGTGCATAACAGCATGTCAGCATAAATAAGAACAATCTTTTTTCAAAAAGTACGAATAGTATCTGCCTTGTTTACATGTCGCAAGCCACAATAGTGTCCAACCATTTACGTAGCATGTTAGCAGCTCGAGACATTGTCAACTAATCTGCGATTTCTACTAGAGTGCTTGAACATACGTTAAAAGTATGGGCCTGATTAAACAAGAGATTGCCTATTGTTGAATTTATTATTCTGTCAGAGCGGTCACAAATGACAAAAAGTGTCTTTTCTTTAAGATAGCAATGAGAAACTATCTCGCTAGATATGCGTGGACAGAAAAACTCATTTTTTGGACTTGCGAAGGTTGTTTTGGTAGACCTTTTTCAGGTAGAGAAATATTCCCTAATAACAAGTCACGCCAAGGGTACCAGCAGAGGGAGCGGGTTGGATATCAATAAATGTTGATGTCCGCCTCAGAGGGTACTGCTCTATCCTACCAAAATAACTTACCAGTATATTCCACCTGAGAAAAAGATTTTTTTCTAAGAAGCGCTCTAACTAGCAATTCATCTACCGTGGCTCACTACAGTGTACTCTCAGTGGGTTATTGGTTTATATGTTATAAACCAGTGAACGTTTTGCCTATTTCCGATTTCAGCGAATCTGCGCGCGATAGAAAGGACACTTATCTCTGCCTGAAAAGATTTGCGGGGTTGATCTCCCCACCCCTTAACCTAACCCTAACTTGGCAAAATTTCAAATACTTTCCAGATAGTGAGTGAAGGCAAATGACTCTTATTCCATTCTTTAAAAGAGTTTTGTCATATAGGCTCGAAATATTTTGATAAAATCCGCTAAAGCATTGGCATAAAAAGCCTTCCAAGAAATTCCGGTTCTAAGTCCCTCCTCCGCCCATCCACCACTCCCCACCTCCTCACCCCTCAAAGAACAGCAATCTATCAAGTTAATATGGAGGTCATGCATATAAGATGTAGAGTTTGCCAGTAGCACTCTCGATTTTTCAGCTCAAAATGATGATAAAACAGCGAATATCAGAGATTTCTGCAAGCGACATAAAATACACTTAACTGTGCCCGAAGAGGTAAGAGGGGTTACTATTACCATCTCTCCCTCTTAACCAAACACTAACCTGGCGGAACTCCGAATGTTTTCTGTGGTTGTGATTGAGAAGAAATGATCCTTATCCCATCTTTTAAAGGCGTTTTTTGGTGTGGGTTGGAAATATTTTAATAAAATTTAGTGAGGCACTGAGATGTTCATTTCTAGTCAGCCCATCTCCCTTCCTCAAAAACTGAAATTCACTGAGTTACTCTTAAAGTCATGCTTGTAGGTTGCAGAGTTGGCCAGGGGTCTTCAGCCGAACATGATAATAAGACAGCGAATAACAGAAAATTGAGTTTTTAATTAACGTTTTTATTGTACCTTGAACTTCGAGGGTAATTTTGGTCGACTTGTTTGAATTACCACTACCGAAAGCGTAAAGCAGCAGTTTTGGTAGGGATAGCGTAAACAGCCTGAGGTAAGATATTTGGAGTAATAAAGAGGGAAATTTTTATTGTGAAAGTATCGCAACACAATTGTTTTCGCCAAAAATACCCATTCACCGTGGGCAAATAATTCGATACGTAAGCAAGATAACACCGGAAGATGAAAAAAAAATAGATAAATGGTTGAAAACTGCAACTGTCGACATGGTGGACAATCCGCAGTAAACGATTTACGAAATTTATGCTAGGTCTGACTCTTTTTAACATGGTGATAACGCAGTGTGCAGAGGGCCTCTTTTTTACCTAAAAAACCAAACACTAGGTAATGAGCAAAATATTTCAACGGATATGCATTTTAGAAAATGCGTATGCGAATAAAAAGTAGAAATTTTCGGCGTATAAAATTCCAAAGTACACCGTGGCTTTGCGCTTAATTCCAGTAAATATAGTGTTGGGGTTAAGAGTTGGCGAACATACTTAGCCTTTCGATAAATTCTCACCAGACCGTTTCATTTATAAAGGAATCGGGTCAAACGTAATCAAGTGAATGTTGGGAAGGACAATGGATTTTCGCTTTCCGCACTGAATGAATTGAC